CAGAGTCATTTTGGAAGCTTTGGCAAGAACTCTCAGGGAAGAGTCCGACCTTTCTTCTAATCCTTGCTGTCAGTCAACTGAGATAGATGCTTGACTGGCAGAAAGGGGAAGCGAAGCTATTACTGGAAACCAGTGCATGGTTTTTCTAGCCCCTCTTTTCCCAAGAGAAAAAAAGGGGAAGAAGGAATCCATTTGGTGGACACTTTAAAACTAATGGCTGTTTTCTACAGCTTTTCAACTTTCCTAAGTACAAATTCACCTGAGTGCTCTAACTAAAAGACTTTAGCATGGTACTACCGAATTTAAGACAGAAATTATTGCTAGTCACTTTTCTCAAGACAAATAACAGACTCCTTTCAAAATGAAAGTGAAAACACCATAAATTAAAAAGGAAAAAAAAAGAAAAGAAAATTTAAAAAGACCCTAAATTTAGAAACAAAAGGAAACTCGTCACCTGCAGTTCTGAGAGGCTATTTGTGGCTCAGAGAATTTGGGTAGTGGAAGATCAAAGGCAAGTCCAGCCTCCCGGCCCGTCCTCCTCAAGGGAGTCAGTGGTGAAAATTCACCTAGGGGAAGAGGTCCTTTAATGGATCCATCAGGGAGGGCAGCCTAAAGGAGCTGAGGGTCCATACCTTGAGTCCCATCTGAGTTGCCGGAATGGGACCCCAAAATTCCAAACCTATGTGCAATAGAAGGGCACTAAGGCACTCAAGATGCTTCCAATGTATTAGGGAAATCAGGGGTCCCTAATTGAGCCCAAGCTCTTCCTCAAGATCAGGGACCCCTCCCCTTGGGTGCTTGCTACTTTTATCTACTTGGGAGAGCACTAAAAATAGAACGAGGCCCACAATTTCATGACTGGTGGAAAACTCTGATTGGTTGAGGGGCATGTCCATCAATCATAACCACTTTCTCAGCAGGCTTTTGAGTGCTTAACTGCAGGTTTTACCCAGCAAAGGCATTCCACCTGCCACCTCATAGAGGTTTCTATAGGAAATTCAACAGCCAGCGTCTGGGTCAGTGATCATTCCAGGACATAAGGAAGTGGTGGGCATAAGGAAAGGTCACAATGGAGCAGGGAGCATAAGGGTGAGGGGTACTGATGCTGCAATCAGCAAGCTTCAGGGTTAAATGTAATGAGCTCTTCTATAACAACAGCTATAACATTTTATCCTCTAATCTACAATATCATGAATACGTAACAGCAGTATCACTAATATAAAAGAGGTTATAATATACATAACTCTTATTCTAACAGCATTAACATACATAACTAACTTTTTTCTTTTTTTCCCTACTTAATAGTATTTTATTGTTTCCAATTACATGTAAGGATAGTTTTCAATATCATCTGTATAAGATTTTGAGTTCCAAATTTTTTTCCTCCCTTCCCTCCCCAAGACGGCAAACAATCTGATGTTATATATGTATAATCACATTATACATATTCCCACATTAGTCAATATCCATAACTTAAATTCAACCCTATCCTGCTTAAGTCACTAATACAATCACTGATGTCCATCAAATCACAATGATTGTGTAAATGAGTAAATGCTGATTAATCTGAGCAAGGAGTATCAAAATTATCCTCACAAATCTCAACTGTCCCTGACTCCTAGGTTACAAATAAATCTTCCTCAATCAACTTATTTGGGAGCCTTCTAAATGTACTTTAATCTGCAACCTGACTTAGTTTACCTACAGAGTTTGTTTGACAAGGTTTATTTCCTTAGGGGGTGTATGAGATTATTTGCTTTATAATAAATTATTTTATTTAAATAATACTTAATAATACTTATTACTTAATAACAATAATAACTTTATAATAAATTACTTTAAATAATAATAAATAATACTTGAATAAATTACTTCATTTAACTAAGTTTGTTCTATTTTTGTGATGTTAAAGGAACTATGAGATTATGGGTCTGTCTTCTCTTGAAATTTTATGGCCTAAGAGAAATACAAGATTGCCATATTGAAATGAATGATTCCTCTGTCACTATGATGTAACTTTGCTTATATAAAGCCTGGTCAGCAGCCTCATGACGGTTCATGTTTTCTCTGAGGCCTGAAACTCTGCTTGAGCACATTCATAAGACCTAGGTGTTCAACCTCTATGATTTCTGCATTGTGGTAAACAGATATTTGGCAGCAGTGACTTCCCAACTCCTGGCTCCATTCCCAGTACAAGACACTCCTCTAAATCTTCTCAAGAAAAGATTAATTGGCATTTCTCTATTTAAGAGTGATTTGGAGCATTTTTTCATATGACTTTAGAAAGTTCTGATTTCTTCTTCTGAAAACTGTTCACATCCTTTGACTATTTACCAATTGGGGAATGACTCATATTCTCATAAATCTGACGCAGTTCTCCACATATCTGAGAAAGAGGCCTTTATCATAGATACTTGCTGTAAAAAAAATTTCCCTAGTTTCCTGCTCTCCTTCTAATCTTCGCTGCATTGGTTTTCTTTGTACAAAACCTTTTTATTTTAAAGTGGTCAAAATTCTCCATTTTATAATTCTGCAATGTTCTCTATCTCTTGTCAGTCATAAATCCTTCCCTTATCCATAGATCTCTCAGGCAGAGTATTCCATGCTTCCCTAATTTGCTTAAGATATTACCATTTATTTCTAAATCACCTACCCACTTTGACCTTATCTTGGTAGATAGTGTGAGATGTCAGACTACACCTAGTTTCTGCCAAATTGCTTCCAAATGTTTTTAATGGCAATGAGTGTTTTATCTTGTCAAAAGCACTTTCCTGGTATAAACCCCACTTGGTCACAAAGTCTGGACTGATATCACATCCCTTTACATTCTTAATTGAAACTGAAAAGCTTCAAACAGACAGCATTAAGGACTGAAGAGAAACGAAGTGGTCAAATGGAAAAAAGCTTTCTAACAAAATTTCTCTGAAAAGGGTTTGGTGTATCCATGATAGAGAAACAATTTACATACATACATACGTACATATATGCCTTGTATACATATATACATATATATGTTGACATATGTACTCATTATTTTGGCTTCATTTTCATCCCCAAACTTACCTCTCCAATTCAGCTAACAAGAATCAAGATGAAATCCCACTCACCCCGCCCCCAAACTGGATGACTGGAGGATGAGGGACAGTCTGTGCCCTGAGGCCCCCCACTCCCCAGCCCAGTAATTTTTTCAACCAAAGTGCCCCCCCCCCACTGCCCACCACTTCCTTTTGCAAGATAAAGCACAGGAGGGTGGGGGCTGTCTTTACTCTTGTTAAAAAAAAAGCAAGAAAGATCATTAAGGACCCTGTCCTGGGGTTCTGAGCTCCCTCCACCCCCAACAGCAATCCCACATTCAGTCCTTCTCTGGCCTCCATCCTAATTTCCTGCCATCCATGTGCCCCAGGACCAACACTTCCAGCTTTCTGCACCTCTCCCCTTCCCATTAGGACCCAGGTTTTGAGGGTTGGAGAGGGAAACAGTGGAACCTCCCAGGGCAGGGACGCAGCCAAGACCCCGCTCTTAGAGGGAGATGTGGGGGTCTGTGTAAATGAGTAGAAGAGAGGAGGTTTATAACATGTGCCCTGGGGCCAGGTGTCCTGACTTCCTGCCTCAGCTCCCATGTAGGATCCAGCTGTCTTCCAGTAAGAGAATGTCCCTTAGGGAAGAATAATGAGAGAGGGGGGAAGGACCCCTTAGTGTGGGGCTGGGGTATGGCAGGTCAAGAATGGAGACAAGCCAAGGTGGTAAATGTTTCCACATTGGAGGAGAGTTAAGTCGGGGTGGGCAAGTCTGGGCTCCAAGCTGCAGGGAGGATGGAGACGCCTGCCTGAAGAAGTGACGGTGGCCATTGGGGGTAGGGAGGACTGGCTGGGAGCAGCAGGGAGATGCAGGGTGGGCATATCCTCATGAGGAAGAAGATGAGTGTAGCAGGGGCAGAGCTGGAAGGAGGAGGGTCTGAGTCCCAGAGCAGGGCAAGGGAAGGAGGGAGAGAGGAGGGATGGGGAAGGAGGAGCTGTCAGAGCTGACCAGGCTGGTGGGAGGGGCCCAGGTGGAATAGGAGCCCTGGGGTGGAGTCTGGAGGCCTGGGTGGGGGGAGGGGAAGAAGAGGGCCATGCCAGTGGCCAAAGCATCCCACGTGACGGAGGGCTGGGATGGGGGAGGAGAAGCAGGCAGTGCCTGAGCTCCCGGGCCTGGGTGTGATTGGAGGAAAGGGCCCACCCTGGGGGCCTCAGGGGCTGGGCAGGGTGGGGCTTTGGGGACTAGGAGGACCCTCCCAGAGTGGGCTGCCTGAAAACAGGAACTTGAGACTGAGATCCCTCTGCCTTCTTCCCCTCTGAGCTGAGATCTTTCTGTTTTCTTCCCTCAGAGCTGAGATCTCTCTCCCTTCCTGCCTTGGAACAGACATCACGCTGCCTCCCCGTGGGGCGGAGATCTCTTAGTCTTCTGTAAACCAGCTCTGCAAGTGCAGGTCCCAGGTAGGCCTGAGCGAGACCTGCACCCCGCTTCTGCCGGCTGTCCGGTCCATTGGGCCTCATCGTCCCCATCTGACCTCATGAAAAGTGTCTGGCCACTCCGCTAGGAGTGGGCCTCCCCCAGAAGCCTGGCACCCAGAGCTGCTCCATGTCCAAGCTCCCTGCCACACCCTCTAGGTCCTGGGGTGCCATCCCCAGCTTCAACGTTGGGTCACAGCCTCCCAATCTTCATGTCTTAACCACAGTATCAGGTGGAGGCAGAGCTCTGGGTCAGGAGCCCTTGGGCTCTGACTGGTCTCATTTCAGTTGGGATCCCAAGCCCCTTCTGCCTCCTGGGTCTCTGTAGGAGGATGGAGGAGGGCATGAGGCCAAAGGGAAGGAGTCAGAAAGGGTGGCAAGTCCTCTTCCTGTCCAGGCCAAGTTCACATCCAAGCCTGACCCTCCCTGCTGCCCTCATCTGTTAGCTGGGGTCTCTCCCCTGAGAGCAGGGCCAGGTAACTCCTCTGAGACCTCACCCTCTAATTCCAGGTAGGTCAGCATCCAGCCTCAGAAGAGAAGGCAAAGACAAAGTCTCCCCCCTCTGCCATCCCTGTCTTGTCCCTCCCCAACTCAGTCTGCAGAGGACCAAAGCCTGGAGCCAGACAGCATGGCCCCTGGGACCCAGAGCCCCTCATCCCAGGTGAGTGCAGTCCATCCACAGACCTGCCCACATCAGCAAACCTGGAAGCCAAGAGAGCCAAGGAAGCTTTATCCTCTCAGACGCAGGCTGGGCTTTGCGGTGCTGTGGGCAGAGCAGACGTCGTCTTCCATTTCCATTTCCTCAGACCACACGCCTTCCCAGGTCTCTCTGAATCCCTTCCATTTGTCATTTCTTAGGTCAAGTCAATAAGTATTTAGAAAATAGCTCCTCTGTGCCAGACGCTGTGCTAACCTACTGGGGATGCAAAGGAAGTTTTTTTTTTAAAAAGGCGTGTCCTCAAGAAGCTCACAGTCTAAAGGGGAGAGAATATGTGAGCAACTATTCAAACAATCTCTCCACAGCATGGATGGGAGGCACCTGGGAGGGAAGGCTCTGGCAGTGTCAGGGTCCAGGAAAAGCTTGTTTCCCAGAGGTGAGATTTTAGCTGAGAAGAGAAGGAAGCCAGGAGGCCAGGTGAGGGAGGAGGGCATGCCAAGCAAGAGAGACAGCCATTGGGAAGGCACAGGGTCAGGAATGGAGGGTGTGGTCAAGGATCAGCCAGGAGGCCAGTGTGCCTGGGGCAGAGAGGGGGAGAACAAGAGTAAGGTATAAGAAGACCAGAAACAGGGCTGGGGCCACGGTCTACGCGCAAAATGGCAGTGAATGTGGAAAACTAAAAATAAATAAAGTAATTTTTAAAAAGTGGATGACCCCTACCAAGCATCAAAGGATTTACGGAAGCGGCCATCAGTCTGCCTCGTAATTCATTCTCTTGAATCTTGGTCCCCAACATTCCAGAGGCCTATTTAGATTATTTATTCCTCATAATCATTCCATCAATGTCATTCTTGCAAACCGCCTCCATCTCCAGCCCCAGTCAATAGATGACACACATCCCCATCACAGCTCCTCATTTCTATATAACCAAACGTGAGAATTAAGGAATGGGTGCCACTGATGAGGGAAAGCAATCACACAGCAAAGACAGAAGCTCTTTGGGCTATGACCCATCACACCCAGTGTCACCTCATGCCTTCAGTAAAACGGCAGCCCTTGTTCTCTTGGCTGCAAGCAGTCCCACCTCAGCTCAGCCCGGACTGTGAGCCCTGTCTCTTCAGGATGCTCTTCATGCCCTCATTTAGACAAGCCTTTATTTCAGCCTTTCAGGAAATCTTTGCCAGCTTCTCACAACATCTCTGTGAATTCCCTTACGACACTTCTGATGAGGAGGAGCTTTACATCACCGTCTCTCTTTGCCCTCCACAGACTCTCCCACCTCTGTGACAGAGCACATACCTTCTCCCGGATTCCACACGGAGAAACATTCCATAGTAAGACATTTCTCCAGCTTTTATTAATCCAACATGATTCTCACTTCAAATACAAAATGCTTTTCTTAATGATGACGCTTTCACATGTTGGCTCGGACCCTCATAAAGTTTTTAGTTATGAGTTCTGGGCACCTCCCTTCTGTGCTTCAGGTTCCTAAACTGATGAGGGTTGGACTACAGGAATTCTGGTCTCTGTCAGCTCTACATCATGTGACTTTTGATGGTTTAGGAGCTGGTGACATTCAAGGATGCGGCTGTGGACGTCACCCAGGAGGAGTGGGGCCTCCTGGACCATTCTCAGAAAGAGCTGTACAAGGAGGTCATGCTGGAGAACGCCCAGAACCTGCTGACCCTGGGTAAGGACCATGTCCTCTGGTAACACTGAATCTGCCATCAAAGCCATGTCTTCATTCCCTCCCTAGCGTGCAGGGTCTGAGCCTTTACCAGTGATTCACAAGGCAAAAGTGCTGGTCTCTCCACAGGGTCCTCCTGCTCCCTGGTTTTCCTATGAAAGGTCTTTGAATTACGTGATGGGAAGCTCAGACTTTCCCTCCTGCTCCTGAAGTTGTCTCCTTTTTATTTTATGCAGCTTCAGGTCAAAAATCAATCCAGTATTAGAGACTCTCAGACTTAAAGCTAATCTTAGAGGTTATATCTAGTCTAACCTCTAACTGGAGCTGATTTCTGTCTACAAAATCTCTGAAAACCGCTCATGCAGCTTTTCTTTGAAGACGGGCAGTGAAGTAACCCCCTACCTGCCAAGGCACTCCTTCCTCTTTGGGATGGGTCTAGACTTTAGAAAGGTCTTTGTGTTAATAAGCATCAATAGGTAGCTCCGTGCTCCTAATCCTGCCTCGTGTTGGGTGTGAAATTCAACAATAAGGTGAACTGAGGCAATTCTCTGAGCAAGATGACCTTTCTTAGCAGGGGCACGCTGCCTGCCAATAAAAGGCTCTGCCTCTGGCCAAAGATCCCAAGAAGACAGTCAGCTCCCCTTTTATAGGTTTTGGGGAATACAGGACAAAGAGCAGAACAGGGAGATGGCACCATGGGAGTGAGGCCAACGTGACTGGGTCCAGAGCTGAGGCACAGGGACCAGTGTGACAGGTTGGAAGTCTGGGAATGAAGGGCTGGCCATAAGCCACTCCTTCTTCCCTGTGACTAAGCAGTGCTCCTTGTCTTAGACACCTACGTACAAGGTCTTAGAGATAACAAACTCTGGACATCCCGGAAGGAGGGCTTGGTGCCCTAAAGAGATTAGGCCCCAAAGCCAGGTATTCACAGACGTCTCTCAAGGACAGCTAAATTCCTGGAGGCAAGAATGGATCCGTGATGAGCTGGAGAGCTGGATGTTTAAAGTTAACCCATTACAGACCTGCTGAATGCTGAACTAAGTTCAGAGAGAAAGAACCATGACTTAAGCAATTACAAGACAAAAATCAATGAATTGTAGATGGGATCAATAAATAAATGATACTGAATGAACTTAATCTTCTCACTAGTACAGCAAGATTATCCTTATTCTATCTTCACTGTTCCCTCTAATTCCAGCACGGGTGGTGGGAAAAGAAGGGAAGGCAATAAGCATTTGTATAAACCTACTGTGTGTCAGGCACTGTGCTCAGTAATTTCTCACTTGATCCTCACAACATCTGTGAGCCTTGTACTATCATTATCCCTATCTTATAGCTGAGGAAACTGAGGCACACAAAAGTGATGTAATTTGCCCAGGGACACACAGCTACTAAGTGTCTGAGGCTGGATTTGGAATGAAGCCATCCTGACTCGTCCCAGGGCTCTTACCACTGCACTACCAGCTGCCTCTAATTTCTAAATAATGGAAATGTGGAATGTGCCCATCCTTCTGTGAAAGGGGTGAACAAAAATGACATTTTCTGATTCCCAGCTGGTTGCATGATCCCACAATCCCCCCTCCAAAGATCCCAACCATCAATACCATGGAAACCATGGAGAGTCCTGGGAACCATCCGGTGGTCCTTGCTTACCTGGCCCCTTTCCCTAAATTATAAATTTCTCTCCATCCTCCTTTCTGTATTCCCCATGCCGAGGGCCTCCACTCCAATTGCCAGAGAAGATCTGACTTCACAAGTTCAAGAAGGGGAGGCACCATGGGTTCTGGAGCCCAAAGCAGATGCAGGAGGGCTGTTATCATGATGCATCTATGTGTTGTGCTGAAGAGAGTGCCAGCCTTGGAGCCGGGAAGAACTGGCCCACAATTCCTTTTTAGATACTTGTAAGCAACATGATCCTGGGCAGTTCACTGAACCTCGGAGCCTCAGTTTCCCCATCTGTAAAATGAGGCGTTTGGACTCCATGGCTTTCAGTTCCCTTCCAGTGATAAGTCTATGATCCTATAAGGAGTCATTGTTTGGAACTTTGGGGCAGGAGCTCTCCTGAAATCATCCCAAAAGGGCTGAGGCTGTCCAACAGGAACACTTTGCGAGATTTTCTTCAAGTCAACAAGCATTTATTAAGCGCCTACTGTATTCCAGAACATGTGCTGGGCACCAGGGATACAAAGAAAGGCAGGGGACAAGCCCTGGTCTCAAGGAATTCACAGTCTGTGGGGAACACAACATACAAACAACTATGTACAAACTCACGACATCCAGGACAAATTGGAGCTATTCAAGAGAGAGAAAGCACTAAGGACGAGGAGGACTGAAGAGGACATTGGAGAATGAGGGGGTTTAGGTGGGACTTCATTTTTTTTTTTTAAGGCAATTGGTGTTAAGTGACTTGCCCAGGGTCACACAGCTAGTAAGTGTCAACTGTTTGGTCTGAGGCTGGATTTGAACTCAGGTCCTCCTGACTTCAGGGCCAGTGCTCTATCCACTGCGCCATCTAGCTGCCCCTTTTAGGTGGGACTTCAGGGAAGCCAGAGTGCGCATGAGGAGCAGCCAGAGAAAACATGGCATCAAGAGGGGGAGTGTCCTGGTCAGGGAACAAAGAGGAGGCCTGTACCATTGATTATCACACATGTGGAGGGGGAGTGAGGTGAAAGAAGACTGGGGGGGCAGGAGAGAGGCAGATGATGGGGGGCTTTAAGAGCCAAGCACAGGATTTTATATTGGGTCCTGGTGATGGTTTGCCCACGGAGTTTATCAAGTAGACAGTGACATGAAGAGAAATGCATTTTAGGAAGATGAATTTGACAGCTGGGCGGTAGATTGAGTGGAGGGGGGAGAATGAGGTCAACCAGAAGACTTGCATTAATACCCCAGGTGTGAGGTGACTGGGGCCTGAACCAAGAAAGCGGCAAAGCTGGGAGACAAAGGGATGTATAGGAGAGATGTTACAAAGGCAGAATCAACAGGATTTCCCATAAGGTTGAATTGGGGATGTGGGGTGGGAGAGGTGATGAGGAGTAGGTCAGTTCTAGGTTGCGAGCCTGGAGAATGGGGAGACTGGTGCCCTGGATAGTGACAGGAAAGTAACAATACAAGAAGGCTGGGGAAAGATAATGAGTTCAGCTTTGGACATCTTGGGAAAGGAACCAGAAGACAGTATTGTCACCAAAATCCAGACAGAAGAGAGGATCAACGAACAGGGTGTGATTGACCATGTCAAAGGCTGCAGAGATGTCAAGAGGGATGAAGGCTCAATCTAACAGTCAGATCACTGGTAACGTGGCAGAAAGCAGTTTCAGCTGAACAATGAAGTTGGGATCTGGAGGGCAAAGAGTTTTGAAGAAAGAAAGAGCAAAGGAGTTAGAAACACCCTTTACGGACGACCCTCTCTAGGTCTTTGGCCATGAATGGAAGGAAAGACAAGGACAGTATCTAATGGGGATGAACGGACCACAGGAGGCTTTTTTCAGGATTGCGGACACAGTGTTTCATTTGTGGTGGTAATAAAGGAGCCAGTAAACAGGGAAAGATTGAAAATTAGAGAAAAATGGGGATGACCCAAGAAGCAAAACCTGGGGGAGAAGACTGGGATCGTTTGCGCCTGTCAAGGGGTTTGCCTTGGCAACTGGAAAGCCCACCTTTTCATGCGCGACCAGGGCAAAGGAGGAAAGAAGGCTTCCGCTTTACGTAAGATGTGCAGATAAGGGAACTCCTGGTAAGTGTCCAGTTTTTTTACTAAAATATGAGGTTGAGTGATCAGCTGAGGGGGTAGGGGATCAAGGAGATTTTGTTCTTACAATGAGGACCCAGATGAGATCGTGTACCCTAAACCTGTACTGAATGCTGACAGCCCAGCTTCAGGATTTTCCCCGTGTCCATTCAGCCCCGTGTGGGAAGGAAGGAAGTCCGCCACCCTCGCTGGAAGTAGCAGTCCAGAGCTGAGCTGAGCCCCAGTCATCAGCCCAAGGTCCCTCTCCTGATCTCTCTGGCTCAATCTTCATCTTCGTTCTCAGAAAATCGTTGGCCAGCTTCCTGTAGGTGACCACCCTAGAGTTAGGGGGTTGGGAGGGAGACACTCCTGGGCACCCCACAGGACCAGGCCCTCTGGAAGTCTAGAAGCCTTTGTGATCTCTAGTGTTTAGTCTGGCCAAGTTTCATCGGGGTTGGAACTGGACAAAGATTGTCATTGATAAGGTATAAGAAAGAAACAAAAACGAGACCGAAGCCAGAACCTGCATTTGAAAACCAGGAGAGAGACCAGAATCCAGGGAATGAGGTAGTGTTTGGGCCCTGGTATCAGCCCCGGGCCCAATCAGTCAGTCATCAACCAAGCACCTGCTATGTTCCAGGCACTGTGCCAAGCCCTGAGATACAAAGGAAAGCAAAAGAGCCTCTGCCATCCAGGGCTCACCACCTAGTCTATGAACATGGAGATGGTTCAAGAAAAAGCTACAGATGCTGAGCTTCACTCTTAGCTGAGCCAGGCAAGAGAGTGTTCTGCTGTGGAAATACATCAAGTTCAAGAGAGAAATAAGTGAATGAAACTAGAGAGGAGAATAGTAGCTTAAGGAGACTAGAGGTGGTGAAGAAATAGTTAAAATCACAACAATAATAATAGCTAACATTCATACAGGGCCTACTATGTTCCAAGCAATTTACAAATATTATCTCATTTGATCCCCACAAAACCCTGGGAGGTAGGTGCTATTATTATCCTCATGTTACAGATGAGGAAACTGAGGCAAACAGAGGTACTGTGACTTGCTCAGTGTTCCACAGGTAGAAAGCATCTGAGTCTGGATTTGAACTCAAGTCTTCCTGACTCCAGGCATAGTGCTCTATCCATTGTGCCATCCGGCTGCCTCATGGCAGAAAATAACTTTGTGCCATAGAGGGTGCTTCAAAGAGAGGGGATAAATGGATAAGACACTTTTAAGACAGTGTTACAACCAGTCACCTGGGATGGGGATGGGTGGAAGACAGGA